TATGTTCACATTTTAAGATGTGGACTCATTGGATCCTCCCCCTATATATATATATATTAACCTAAACATAAAAGTAGTCTTTGTAACTAACACTAAAGAATGTGGCACGTGATCCTTACTTCTACATACGGAACATGAATTCCAGTTTGCGCGGTAATGTGCTTCGAGAAAACATTGAACTTTGGCTTTAAAACCTTCGCCGCGGGCCCACCATCAATGCCAAATTCATTGAACCTAACAATTGTGGCAGAAACTCATATTGACAACTCCAAGAAGTACCAATTTATAACACAAAACAAACATGGAAAACAGAGCAGAAGGTCACAATAACTTATATTTCATCAAGATGCAGAACTAGGCTAGGTAAACGAGAAGACATCAGACTAATAAAAAATCCTTGACAAACATTATAATAAATAAAAAGATGCCTACACAGCTTTACAGGACTAGGAAACAATTGCCTATTATCAAGGAAAAACAGCTCTATTTATATTTTATATCAAACAATTCATGCTTAACTTGATTATTTTTAGTGCCAGAAGTTACAGACAATTGAGGACAGTATCACAAACATAGAAAAGCTATCAAAGCTCTCATTATGGAATGTGATGCTCCAATCGATATTGCAATACTATTACTGAGTCCGTCGGATAACATAAAGAGATCAACGAAGTATTTCCTTCCTACATAAAAACCTACATCACACTTAGATTAGTCGCATAGAATCTAAGTAAATAAGCACTCATAAGAAATTTCATAGGAGTACTTTTTACTTCTAGAGGAAGTGGTTGATTGCTTTGGAATCGCAAGCAGTTGAGAATCAAAAGTTAACAACATTTGCTAAAGGAATCAAAGAATTGATTAAATCAACTGATAGTTCAATTAATTAGTTGTAGGAAGATTCTACATGTTTCGAAATAAAAACATGAACAGAATCTAAAATATGTCTCTTCCTGCTTTAGGTAAAAGTGGGGAAATCAGAAGCAGAAATCAAACTCGCACACTAAAAAATTGTTTCGTTCCCAAAGCCCAAGCCAAAAGTTACATCTTTTTAAATGGTTGCACTCACATTCCTAAGTAAACTTCAGTTACAATGTAAATCAAATAGCAATTGGTTGTTTCCAGCAAAACCGTTAGCGTCTTAACAATGTATGCAGCTTCTTCAGCGAGTACAGATTAAAAGACACTTAAAGCAAATTTACACAAATCCAATTCACTAAAGGACCCTGATTGTTTCATTCTCATCAATCATCATAAACACGATACAAATTATCCCAGCAAAGGTTGCTCAGCATTAATGAATAACATATAGTGGATCGAGCAAAGGTTTTTGTAGACTGCTTTATGATAATGTTTGGAAAATAGTAAAATGATCACTCGTCTTCGTCATGCCGCGCCAGCTCAGGAATGTTCCTTCTACGCGACGGCATCTCTATATTAAGTGGTAACTCGAATGTTCTAAAGTTCAATCAATAGATAAGGAAGATAAATTCCTAAGCCTCAATTAATAACAACAGCAATAAACAATTCACCTCATAAATATATACCTTGAAGTGGCGGGCCATGACGAAAACGAGTGGTTATTTTACTATTTTCCAAACATTATCGTAAAGTAGTCTACAGAAACCTTTGCTCGATCCATGAGCAACCTTTTTGGGATAATTTGCATCGTGTTTATGATGATTGACTAGAACTTGCATGAGCCACCACATCTTTTCCACACATCACATCAAGCAACCCATGGAGTAAGATCTCGATAAATACCCAAATACATAAAAATACTAGGAATAGGTGAAAGATGATAAAGAAAACAAGAGAGCAATGTCGAATTAAAACTGCACAGCACCCGCTAATCTTGGAATCAAAGTCAATCCACCTCCAATTCACATTCATACACTAAATAAAAACAAATCCAGAATCACAATACACAAATCCAGAGTCTTTTAACACACAAATTCACTGACAATACATAAGATCCAATTAATTGCACGCGATCACATTCAAGCGACTAAACAAACTAGAGCCAGCTAAGAATCCGACACGAAACCATGAATGCAATAGAAACAGAAAAGGGCAAATTGAGTACACACAATTTGCCATGTTAAAAGATTTCACACACTAAGAGTAAAAAACAAAGGCAGATCCGTACGAGAGATGCCTTACTCTTGGTAAGCGGAGAGAACGAAGATCGAGACGAAGAGGAGTCTGCCGAGGAAGGAAATAAACGCCATTGAATCTCCTCTCTCACTCTCTCAAATTCTCTCTCTAGCAGAGTATTTTGCTGCTGGATTTGGGAGAGGAGAGATTCTTGGGGCCTTGTAAGTTATAATTTCTCCTGCGTTTTGCCCTTTTAATTTGAAGTTTTAACCTAATAAGGCTGATATGAAATCAAATAAATAATCTTTTTTGACCGAGACCATTAGAGCTCTATTATGGGAAAATCTTCACCTATAATCAATAGTAACAGTACAAAGTCCGTGTACTACATGGGTGTTTTATAAAAAAATTAATTATCGAACAAAAAGTGAAAACAAATTGAAATTCGTGAAATTAAAAATTATAAATATTTAATTAAAAGTATTTTTCAAATATTACTTCTACTTCGATAAAATATTTTTAAGAAGTATTTAATACATATTATTTTGTAAAAAAATAGATATAATAATTAATATATTCGAAAGTTAATATAAAGCCCATGAACAATACGGGTGCACGAAAATAGAATAATTTTGTCAAAATAAAGAAGTCAAAAAGATTATATTATTATAATAGAATGATAAAAAAATTTAAATAAAAATAATAATAAAACTAATCCTCTCTATATATTATTCTCGAATGCGCTGAGCTTCGTGGCTGCTTCTGATACTTCGGAATCCTACTTGGCAAAGAATCATGCTTCGTAATTAAGTTTGGACAAATAAATTGATATATTAAAAATTAATAATAATTTATGTTTGGACATTCCATAAATATTATTTAGCTAACTTAGGTATTTTAATATCACTTGTACTAATATAACGCTTTATTTATAATTTTACATACTGAGTCACTAAGTGACTAATATATCACTAACTTCTGATTTGTTTCCTTCAATTAACTATTGAATTATAAATGTATTTTAAAAGTCGATAACTTCTGTATTTCGTATCGGTTTTACATATATAATATATCAAATTAATCATCTTTTGACGATATTCGATTTGACATCCATATTGTATATATGAAATAAATAAATTATATTTATATTTATAATAATAAAAAATAATAATATTTATTAAAATTCATTAGAAAAATAAAATTATTCCTCAATTGATATATTTATGTTTAATGTAGTTATATGTTGTAAGTTAAAAAATATTATAATATAACACATGTAAGTTGCACAAATAAAAAATGTCATACTAAATATATAATAATATATATATATTTATAAAAGGTATTTAAATTTTCAACTACTTTTTCTCAATAATTTTAGATTTTAAGAAAAAATAAAATTTTAGATTTTAAGAAAAAATTAGCAAGCTCACGTGTAATACACGGACGTTGTACTAGTTATATAAAATAATAACCGTGTTTTATATCGATTTGTTAAAATTATATTTTTTAACCACACACATACACACATTGTGGGTGTATGTTTTATTTGCAACTCAATAATTTAATTTTTTTTGAAGCTTGATTATTATAATTATATATTATATTTATACAGTAGTCTTCCTTCATCTAATATTTTTTAGAATGTCTTCAGATTTATAATATTCAAATAATTTAAATTATATTGTGTATGAGGCTGAACTTTATGAAATATAATAATTAGTATTATTATTTAACTTATAATGTGCATTGATTTTTTTTTTTAAAAATCATTATAATGTTCACTCTATATGTAATCTTTATTTAAGTTGAGACATAAACCTTAGACTATTTTTTATATTAATTTGATGTTCATACTTAGCTTACATATATTTTTTTCCAAATAAAATAACTATTTTATGGTATGTTAATATACATAAATTTCTACTGCTTTATAAGATATCTTATAATTTTATTTGATATTTTTTAATTCAGTTTGATAAATAAATTTAAATTTTTTTTATAAGGATATATATCAATGTTTTATATTATATACATAATGTGGATGTCAAATCGATGATCGTTAAAAGATAAATTATTTGTTCTATCATATATGAAAAACTGATTGGTACTAGTTTCAGATTCGAGAAGTTGATTGAGTTAATTGTAGTAACTAAATTAATCAACCTCTTAAATACGGGAATGTAGATCGATCAATAAATAGGAAAAGAAATTAATTGTAATTCGGAGTTAAATTGAGAGTTCAATAATAATTTTCTAGTGTAATATTTTATTATTCAAGTATTGAGTGGAGTGGGCTTAGCACACAGTTTGGCTCATGCTTGGTAAGCTCATAATTAACACCTCATTAGTCTCTCTACTGTAGCCCTATAAATACACCAAGTCTCAATCTTCCAAACACAAGAGAGATCATAAAACACACGTACGGTTTCTCTTCCTAAAGAGAATCGATCGAATTCTTATGTCTCTTCTTGATAGTTTGTGATATTTGAGAGCTTCGTTCGGTCGTTCCACCAAGATCGTTCGAAGAATGTGTTTTGGGTAATACAGTAGAGGATTTTTTGCCTTTATTCGTATCCAATATATTCGAACCCCGTAATGTTTTTGTAATTCGCGGGGTCGTCCGTTCTTCACGAAAATCGAGAATCATAATCACAGGATCCCCGACGATCATCATGTTGTACCTGTCGAAATCAGCCACGACAATCGAGCCCTGGCCATGCTTATCGCGCTCAGCCGCCCCTGGCCGCGGGCAGACCCATAGAGCACCGCATCCAGCGTGCAGCCTCCGTGCTCTTCGCACGACCCGCGTGCTCTTTGCGAGATCCGACAACGATCCTCTGCCCTAGCGCGACCCGCATTGGCCTGCATAACCCAACAGCAAGTTCCGCAAACTCTTTGTGCGACCCGTGTGCTTCCAAGCGCCTGTGCGTGAGTGCTCAGCGACCCGTGTCGTTCCAACGCCCAACGTTGTGCGTGCAGCTTGACCTGCGTGCTCCCAGGCATAACAGGCGTGCCCGACCAAGCCCACTCCACGTACAGCGCACCAGATCTGTCCAGTATGGTCCATCCTAGTCCAGTATGGCCCAAAAGCAGTCCAGACGGTTCAACATCGATCTGGGAGACCTGGCGAGCCCACGGGGAGTCTCAGACAATTCGACTAATCCACTGGAGATCCATGATGGTCCAATGGGCCTGACGAGCCACCGAGATAGTCCAGAAACCCGACGGACTCTAAGGTTCAGACGACACCAACAGTAGAAATTTGAAATGTCTCAAAGTCGGTGAAAATTTTAAATCGCAAGTCCTAGTCCGAACTATAGGGTTCGTTGCGTTAGGATTTATTTTTAATAATTCGAATATGCAAGAGAGCGATGTTCCTAATAGAACCTAACACCTAGCTTAAGGCATCACACATGAAGACGACATGTTACTCTACAAGACGACAGATGTCCTTCGAAAATTTACAATTCGACGCAATTAATGTAAAAGGGGTGTTGTAATTAAAAAAAAAAAAGAATGCACTCTATGAGATTTACAAAGATATAAGAGAAACCATCGAATCATTCCTCAAATTGTAACTGATCAAAGCGAATTGTTGAGACGTACGAGATGATTGTCACTGTACCTCACTTGTCCTAGTTCGCAGAGGTGCAAAATGAAATGGGGTCTCGTGAGCCTTAAGTACTTTTTTGGAGCGAAAATTTGTCAAAACATACAAAATCAGGAATAGTTAACACAAACAATTAAATATGTGACAACACCGATTTTGGACTTCAAAATGTGCCATCCAACCTTTATAAATAAAAGAAAAATTGACATTGGGGTAGTCAACTTCTCAGCAACTACCAATCGCGTTTTCTCTCTCGTCTTTCTTCTTTTCCCCTTGAACAGTAAACCATTGCCCTATTTTCCTCTTGACCGACGTTGCGGCTCCTCCTGCAGAAATGATCGGCTCTAAGAAAGAGCCCGTACGCGCGGCCTTTGGCGCGGTTCCGCTACCGTTTTGGTGCTCTTCCACCATATGAGTCCGCCGGGTAATTCTGGCCGTCAGACTGGGTGTTCGGTCGGTACAGGTCGCCGCCCTCATGGCGTCTGGAGCTGGCGTTGACGATGTCATTTCCCTTGAGTCGTCCATTTTTTGGGGTTGTAATGGACGACTCCTCCTCCAGCGAGCTATGGTTTGTTTTGATTGTGGTGCCAGAGTTGTGATGGGGGAGACGCCGATTGTCGGGTTCTGTAGCTGTTTTCCGGTGGTGATCCGTATGGAAGGAGGGTTAGACCTTGTAGCTTTGGGTCAAGTTAGTAATAACATGTTGAGTTAGGAGTTTGGAGTTTATAGGTCCTCGTGGGGGCTTTGTTCCTGTCTTTCTATGGTTATTCGACTGTCGTTTTCGCTGAGGAGGTTATGAGTTTTTGGTCGGTAATTAGGAGGGCTTTATTGTATCGATTAGGTGTGTATTGTAGTTTTTGCCTTTTTTTTCTAGTTCGTCGTTTCAGTCTAGTTGCGTCTGGCTTTTAGTCAGATAATGGAGTTGTTGTGTCTCCTTTTGGACTTTTTTTGTTTTGCGGGTGATTGTACCCCTTGGTCGACTGTGTAATTCCAAGAGGCGATGTATCTAATCTTTGTGCTCGCTTTAATGTGTCCGTCAGGTGTACTCATTTTGAGTTTTTGAATTGCCAATATACTTATCGTTTAAGAAAAAAAAAAAAACTTTGTAAACAAAAATACAATATTATTTTGAACAATGCCAAAAAAAAAAAA